GCCGATTTATACAGAAACCCAGAAGCCATTTTTCTTACGGCTCACAGTCTAAACTTTCTCTAATACGACCGCGGCGACGAATACACTTTTAAGCCTGAAAATGTGTATATATATATATATATATATATATATATATATATATATATATATATATATATATATATATATATATATATATATATATATATATATATATATATATATATATATATATATATTGAGAGACATCATGTGTCACTGCACAGTGACGTCAGGTCTCAGTGCATGGTGACTTCGGATAGGAATTAAACGTTCCGTCACCTGCGATGATGCGATATTCCGTGACGTTTAACTTGTTCTTAATTAAGGGCACGTTCTACCCCCCACGACCCCTTAAACCTGTTCTTAAGGGCACTTTCTACCCCCATGACCCCTTAAACCTCTTCTTAAGGGCACTTTCTACCCCCATGACCCCTTAAACCTGTTCTTAAGGGCACTTTCTACCCCCACGACCCCTTAAACCTGTTCTTAAGGGCACTTTCTACCCCCATGACTCCTTAAACCTGTTCTTAAGAGCACTTTCCACCCCCACGACCCCTTAAACATGTTCTTAAGAGCACTTTCCACCCCCACGACCCCTTAAACCTGTTCTTAAGAGCACTTTCCACCCCCACGACCCCTTATACCTGTTCTTAAGAGCACGTTCTACCCCCCACGACCCCTTAAACCTGTTCTTAAGAGCACTTTCCACCCCCACGACCCCTTAAACCTGTTCTTAAGTGCACTTTCCACCCCCACGACCCCTTAAATCTGTTCTTAAGAGCACTTTCCACCCCCACGACCCCTTAAACCTGTTCTTAAGAGCACTTTCCACCCCCACGACCCCTTAAATCTGTTCTTAAGAGCACTTTCCACCCCCACGACCCCTTAAACCTGTTCTTAAGAGCACTTTCCACCCCCACGACCCCTTAAACCTGTTCTTAAGAGCACTTTCCACCCCCACGACCCCTTAAATCTGTTCTTAAGAGCACTTTCCACCCCAACGACCCCTTAAACCTGTTCTTAAGAGCACTTTCCACCCCCACGACCCCTTAAACCTGTTCTTAAGAGCACTTTCCACCCCCACGACCCCTTAAACCTGTTCTTAAGAGCACTTTCCACCCCCACGACCCCTTAAACCTGTTCTTAAGAGCACTTTCCACCCCCACGACCCCTTAAACCTGTTCTTAAGAGCACTTTCCACCCCCACGACCCCTTAAATCTGTTCTTAAGAGCACTTTCCACCCCCACGACCCCTTAAACCTGTTCTTAAGAGCACTTTCCACCCCCACGACCCCTTAAACCTCTTCTTAAGAGCACGTTCTACCCCCGACGACCCCTTAAACCTGTTCTTAAGAGCACTTTCTACCCCCCACGACCCCTTAAACCTGTTCTTAAGAGCACTTTCCACCCCCACGACCCCTTAAACCTGTTCTTAAGAGCACTTTCCACCCCCACGACCCCTTAAACCTGTTCTTAAGAGCACTTTCCACCCCCACGACCCCTTAAATCTGTTCTTAAGAGCACTTTCCACCCCCACGACCCCTTAAACCTGTTCTTAAGAGCACTTTCCACCCCCACGACCCCTTAAACCTGTTCTTAAGAGCACGTTCTACCCCCGACGACCCCTTAAACCTGTTCTTAAGAGCACGTTCTACCCCCCACGACCCCTTAAACCTGTTCTTAAGAGCACTTTCCACCCCCACGACCCCTTAAACCTGTTCTTAAGAGCACTTTCCACCCCCACGACCCCTTAAACCTGTTCTTAAGAGCACTTTCCACCACGACGATCCTTAAACTTAGAAAACTCCTTGTGGTTTCTCCTCTAAAGAATACATAGCAAACAATCATCATTTTCCTCGACCTGTGATATTAATTTGGTGATCCCCACAATCATTAGAGGAACAGGGGTGACAATCAGAGGAACAGGGGTGACAATCAGAGGAACAGGAGTCACTCAGCTAACTCTCCTCCGGTTTTAAGACAACCGGCCCCCTCATACTCGCTTTACCAAACATCTTGAACCATGTTCTCTGCGATGGTTGGACTGCAGCTCCAGGTCCTCTTTTTTTTCCCCTTCGGCTCGTTCATCGTGACCTGCCACCACTTTACAATCTACTTTACCTAACCTAACCTAACCTACTTCACACACAACGCACTGTAACGTTAAAAATGTATGTGCTTTCAACAAATTAAAAACGCCGCAATATTGACGCTTTCTAGGACTAACGAGGATAGATCATGATAAATGAGCAAATCCACAAGGGCCGTGACGAGGATTCGAACCTGCGTCCGGGAGCATCCCAGACACTACCTTAATCATTTGATGCATCACGTTAGTGTGATCTCTGCGTGTGATTAGGTCATGATATATATATTAGGCTGGTTGCTTAGCCTCGTACGTTTCTAGTTAGGTTAGGTTAAACCACTTCAAATTAGACTTATCAAATCGTTAGATTAGGCTGAATTATCGGTAAATCGGCTTCAGTACAATGCTAATCTCAGCTCCGAATCCGCCGCGTAAGCGCGTTCGCGGGCTTCCATCAGCCAATGAGAGCCTTGCAAGTCTTCCTGTCATCTGATTGGCTTATACGGCTTATATTTGGGCCAATCAGTGTGTGTGTGCCATATTTTCTTTTTTCTCTTCGTTGGCTCTGAAATGCTCAACGCGACGGCATCTCAGCCAATCAGAAGCATCAATCACACTATTGACACTACACACATACACACAGCCTGGTTGATCAGTTCAGCAACCAGGAGGCCTGGTCGACGACCGGGCCGCGGGGACGCTAAGCCCCGGAAACACCTCAAGGTAACCTCAAGGTATACAGCTTAGAGGTGAACACGGCTATGGAATGACCCTTATAGGAGCTTGAGACCTTGACAGCAATTAAGCTGTGTAACCTATGTAGACTATGCAGCACGCGTAGACTATGCAGCACGCGTAAGACTATGCACCACACGTAAGACTATGCACCACACGTAAGACTATGCACCACACGTAAGACTATGCACCACACGTAAGACTATGCAGCACGCGTAAGACTATGCACCACACGTAAGACTATGCACCACACGTAAGACTATGCAGCACACGTAAGACTATGCAGCACGCGTAAGACTATGCACCACACGTAAGACTATGCACCACACGTAAGACTATGCAGCACGCGTAAGACTATACAGCACACGTAAGACTATGCAGCACACGTAAGACTATGCACCACACGTAAGACTATGCAGCACACGTAAGACTATGCAGCATACGTAAGACTATGCACCACACGTAAGACTATGCAGCACACGTAAGACTATGCAGCACACGTAAGACTATGCACCACACGTAAGACTATGCACCACACGTAAGACTATGCAGCACACGTAAGACTATGCAGCACACGTAAGACTATGCACCACACGTAAGACTATGCACCACACGTAAGACTATGCAGCACACGTAAGACTATGCGGCACGCGTAAGACTATGCAGCACGCGTAAGACTATGCAGCACACGTAAGACTATGCAGCACACGTAAGACTATGCAGCACGCGTAAGACTATGCAGCACACGTAAGACTATGCAGCACGCGTAAGACTATGCAGCACGCGTAAGACTATGCAGCACGCATAAGACTATGCAGCACGCGTAAGACTATGCAGCACGCGTAAGACTATGCAGCACGCATAAGACTATGCAGCACACGTAAGACTATGCAGCACACGTAAGACTATGCAGCACACGTAAGACTATGCAGCACGCGTAAGACTATGCAGCACACGTAAGACTATGCAGCACACGTAAGACTATGCAGCACGCGTAAGACTATGCAGCACACGTAAGACTATGCAGCACACGTAAGACTATGCAGCACACGTAAGACTATGCGGCACGCGTAAGACTATGCAGCACGCGTAAGACTATATGTAGCATAAGTAGACTACGTAGGCCAGCGTACAGCTCGCCATACTAGGTACTATCCATTATATGAGGCAGCAGTCAACATATAGCTCCGTGTTCCGTGGCCCCGGGTTCATGGACGAGGCGGACACTGATGTCAAAACGATTGGGCGATTGGGAAGAATATATCCGATATCACGAGTGATTTACGGCTTACCCTTCTGGAAATGGGCCGTGTTACGATTAATAGGAATATGAGGGTGGAGGAGGAGGAACTGCGGGCTCACCATAGCCTGTGCTACTTGGAACTTTGTGTTCCAGGTAGCGAATCTTAAACAACAACAACAGAGGAGGGGAAGGGAAGGGAAGGGAAGGGAAGGGAAGGGAAGGGAAGGGAAGGGGAGGGAAGGGAAGGGAAGGGAAGGGAAGGGAAGGGAAGGGACTATCAAAAAACGCCTAGCCACTACGACTGTGTAGCATTTGGAATAGATAAGGGTTTGGAATGGGACAGTGGCAAGAGGATAAGGAATAGGTGAAGTAGGATGGGTGTTTTCGGAAGGATAAGGAGATAAGGAGATATGGAAAACGAGGGGGATGGTTTGCGAGGGGAAATTTAATAGGGGCGAAGTAAACAATGGTTAAGGTGATTGGAGAGTGAACAGAGGGGGAAGAGTGATAGAGGGGAATGAAAAATATGTAGATAGAGAATTAGTAAATAGAGAGATTAAGAAGGGAGAGTGAGTAAATCTCCTTTTCCTCCTCCTCCTCCTCCTCCTCCTTGGCTTCCTGGGCCTCGACCAGGGCCAAGACCGGGCCGCGAGAACGTTGAGCCCCGAAATCATCGTAAGGTAACTGCAAGGTAAGTGTAAGGGGGAAGTTAGTAAAGAGAGTGAATACTGGGTAAAGAGAGATCTTAGCAAGTTCTCCATTTGCAGAGATATTGTCCTTGAGAAATAGGCAACCTAACACACGCACACACGCACGCACGCGCACATACAAACACACACACACACACAAACACACACAGGAGGCTGCAGTTCCAGAAAGGAGCTACGGAGGCTCCTTTCAATCTTAACAATCAAGAGGAACAATCAAGAGGATCAAGAGGAACAAACAAGAGGAACAAACAAGAGGAACAAACAAGAGGAACAATCAAGAGGAACAATCAAGAGGAACAATCAAGAGGAACAAGAGGAACAATCAAGAGGAACAAACAAGAGGAACAATCAAGAGGAACAAGAGGAACAAACAAGAGGAACAATCAAGAGGAACAAGAGGAACAAACAAGAGGAACAATCAAGAGGAACAAGAGGAACAAACAAGAGGAACAAGAGGAACAAGAGGAACAAACAAGAGGAACAAGAGGAACAAGAGGAACAAGAGGAACAAACAAGAGGAACAAGAGGAACAAACAAGAGGAACAATCAAGAGGAACAAGAGGAACAATCAAGAGGAACAAGAGGAACAAACAAGAGGAACAAGAGGATCAATCAAGAGAAACAAAAGGAACAATCAAGAGGAACAATCAAGAGAAACAAAAGGAACAATCAAGAGGAACAATCAAGAGGAACAAGAGGAACAAACAAGAGGAACAAGAGGATCAATCAAGAGAAACAAAAGGAACAATCAAGAGGAACAATCTTAAGACACGACGTAAGAAGGGGAAAAGTAAGGCAGAAGATCATCCTACGGTTCAACATAGAATGCTAGCAGTCATAAAACAAGCAACAGTGCTAACCACAATAACCTGATGGATCAGTGAATATATTGAAGCTGTACGACGGAATCGAACAGCCTCATTATATTCAGGCGAATGAGCAGCAGCTTTAGGCAGCTGCGAACAAAGGAGAAGGGGGAAGCGAGGTGAAATCAATTCATCTGTATAAAGTTTGCAACACGCAAGAACATCGAGGAAAGGTTTTGCAACCAAGGTCAACAGCCAATGACAAAGGTGTCATGGAGTCCCCATCTGAAAAAGCGTATAAGGAAACTGGATAAGGTTCAGAGGTTATTGCATTAGAGAAGCAAAATCAACTGACAGAAAATGACAGTGTCATGGAGTCCCCATCTGAAAAAGCGTATAAGGAAACTGGATAAGGTTCAGAGGTTATTGCATTAGAGAAGCAAAATTAGCTGACAGAAAATGTCATGGGAGTCCCCATCTGAAAAAGCGTATAAGGAAACTGGATAAGGTTCAGAGGTTATTGTATTAGAGAAGCAAAATCAGCTGACAGAAAATGACTGTCATGGAGTCCCCATCTGAAAAAGCGTATAAGGAAACTGGATAAGATTCAGAGGTTATTGCATTAGAGAAGCAAAATCAGCTGACAGAAAATGACAGTGTCATGGAGTCCCCATCTGAAAAAGCGTATAAGGAAACTGGATAAGGTTCAGAGGTTATTGCATTAGAGAAGCAAAATCAGCTGACAGAAAATGACAGTGTCATGGAGTCCCCATCTGAAAAAGCGTATAAGGAAACTGGATAAGGTTCAGAGGTTATTGCATTAGAGAAGTAAAATTAGCTGACAGAAAATGTCATAGGAGTCCCCATCTGAAAAAGCGTATAAGGAAACTGGATAAGGTTCAGAGGTTATTGCATTAGAGAAGCAAAATCAGCTGACAGAAAATGACAGTGTCATGGGAGTTCCCATCTGAAAAAGCGTATAAGGAAACTGGATAAGGTTCAGAGGTTATTGCATTAGAGAAGCAAAATCAGCTGACAGAAAATGACTGTCATGAAGTCCCCATCTGAAAAAGCGTTTAAGTAAACTGGATAAGGTTCAGAGGTTTGCAACGAGACTCGTCCCAGAGTTACAAGGGATGGGGTATGAGGAGCGCCTGAAGGAACTGTGCCTTACGACACTAGAACAAAGAAGGGAGAGGGGTGATAGGAGACCTTGTGTGAGGAAAAGAAAGGAATCCAAATTGTATACAAGGAAAAGAAGAGAGAAAATTCTATTCGAATAAACGCAACTCTTAACTATATTCACCCAAACTCATTGACACATAACAGAGGGACATGAGCCATGAGGAAAGACTGAGGGAACTTGAGGGAGAGAACTGAGGGAGAAATAACTAGGTAGAGAAACAATGTTCAGAGTGAACAACAACAGCACGAATAAGAGGGGAACCTACACTAACAAATCACTCGAAAGATTGTCAAAAAGGAACAAATAGTAATAAAATACACTAAAATATAAGCTAGTTTACGATAGATTATAAAATTTAAAACGAAAATACAAGTCGAATGAACAAATCCACAAGAGCCGTGACGAGGATTCGAACCTGCGTCCGAGAGTTAATTTTAAAAAATTAACTCATATAAGTCGAATCATAAGCAAATAGACGACAAGCGGGGCTTAGGAGCCGAGATTCGACTCGGAAGCACACTCAGGTGAGTACTAGCTGCCTCATGACAAAAATAACTTTTCCCCTCATTAAACTGTCAGCCTTTAAGCCTACTGATGACAAAATATTGTCAGCTATCAAAATAAAGTAATTCTAACATAAAGGTAATCTAACAAACACAACAACTGAACTGTTTGTGAAGGGTAATTGCACTTGCAATGGTTTGATGCTTTATATATATATATATATATATATATATATATATATATATATATATATATATATATATATATATATATATATATATATATATGTCGTACCTAGTAGCCAGAACGTACTTCTCAGCCTACTATGCAAGGCCCGATTTGCCTAATTAGCCAAGTTTTCATGAATTATTTGTTTTTCGACTACCTAACCTACCTAACTTTCTCGGCTACCAAACCTAACATAACCTAAAAAAATAGGTTATGTTAGGTTGGGTTAGGTAGGGTTAGGTAGGGTTGGTTAGGTTCGGTCATATATCTACGTTAATTTTAACTCCAATAAAAAAAAAATGACCTCATACATAATCAAATGGGTAGCTTTATCATTTCATAAGAAAAAAAATTAGAGAAAATATATTAATTCAGGAAAATTTGGCTTATTAGGCAAATCGGGCCTTGCATAGTAGGCTGAGAAGTGCGTTCTGGCTACTAGGTACGACATATATATGTATATATATATATGTGTGTGTGTGTGTGTGTGTGTGTGTGTGTGTGTGTGTGTACTTACCTATTTTTGTTTTGCGGGGGTTGAGCTCTAGCTCTTTGGTCCCGCCTCTCAACCGTCAATCAACAGGTGTACAGGTTCCTGAGAGTATTGGGCTCTATCATATCTACACTTGAAACTGTGTATGGAGTCAGCCTCCACATCAGATGTGTGTGTGTACTCACCTATTTGTACTCAACTATTTGTGTCAGCAGGATCGAGCATTGACTCTTGGATTCCGCCTTTCGAGCATCGGTTGTTTACAGTAATGACTCCTGTCCCATTTCCCTATCATACCTAGTTTTAAAATTATGAATAGTATTTGCTTCCACAACCTGTTCCTTAAGTGCATTTTATTTTCCCACTACTCTCACGCTAAAAGAAAACTTCCTAACATCCCTGTGACTCATCCGAGTTTCCATCTTCCACCCATGTCCCCTCGTCGTCTATGTCCACTTTGTCAATCCCCCTGAGTATTTTATACGTTCCTATCATGTCCCCCCTCTCTCTTCTTTTTTTTTAGTGTCGTAAGGCACAGTTCCTTCAGGCGCTCCTCATACCCCATCCCTTGTAACTCTGGGACGAGTCTCGTTGCAAACCTCTGACCCTTATCCGTTTCTTTATAAGCTTCTTCAGATGGGGACTCCATAATGAGGCGACATACTCTAAGACTGGCCTGACATAGGCAGTGTAAAGCTCCCTAAATGCCTCCTTACTTAGGTTTCTGAATGATGTTCTAACTTTTGCCAGTGTAGAGTACGCAGCTGTCGTTATCCTATTTATATGTGCCTCAGGAGATAGATTAGGTGTTACGTCCACCCCCAGGTCTCTCTCACGCGTCGTTACAGGCAGGCTGTTCCCCCTTCATTGTGTACTGTCCTTTTGGTCTCCTATCACCTGATCCCATTTCCATAACTTTATATTTGCTCGTATTGAACCCCAGTAGCCAATTCCCGGACCATCTCTGCAACCTGTTCAGGCCCTCTTGGAGGATCCTGCAATCCTCATCTGTCACAACTCTTCTCATCAACTTTGCGTCATCCGCGAACATTGACATGTAGGACTCTATTCCTGTAAACATGTTGTAACATATACTAGAAATAGAATTGGTCCCAGCACCGATCCTTGTGGTACTCCACTTGTTACTGTTCGCCAGTCCGACTTCTCGCCCCTTACCGTAACTCTTTAGCTCCTTCCTGTTAGGTAGTTCCTTATCCATGCTAGGGCCTTTCCTCTCACCCCCGCCTGCCTCTCGAGTTTGAACAGCAGTCTCATGTGCGGTACTGTATCAAAGGCTTTTTGGCAGTCCAGAAATATGCAGTCTGCCCAACCATCTCTGTCCTGTCTGATCCTCGTTATTTTATCATAGAATTCCCAAAAGTTTGTTAGGCACGATTTCCCTTTCCAGAACCCATGTTGATGTTTGTTCACAAACCTAATGTTCTCCAGGTGTGCAACCAGTCGTAGCATAATTATTCTTTCAAGTATTTTACAGGGGATGCTTGTCAGTGATACAGGTCTATGGTTAAGTGCCTCCTCCTTATCACCTTTCTTGAAAATCGGTACGACATTTGCCTTCTTCCAGCAACTGGACAATTCTCCCGACATAAGTGACTCATTAAAGATCATTGCCAGAGGCACGTTGAGGGCCTGTGCTGCCTTTTTTAGTATCCACGGTGATACTTTGTCTGGTCCAACCGCTTTAGTTGCATCCAGTGTTGTCAACTGTTTCATTACCACCTCTGCTGTCACCTCTATATCTGCTAGTCTTTCATCTATGGTACTCTCTTCTAACAATGGGAGCTGCTCAGGCTCGGTAGTGAACACTCCATGGAAACTGGCATTCAGTGCCTCGCAGATTTCCTTTTCATTTTCAGTATATGTCCCCTCTGTTTTTCTTAGTCTAGTCACTTAATTGGTCGTTCACCGACTTTTTCTTTTTACATGGCTGTGTAGTAATTTAGGTTGCTTTTTCGCTTTGATTGCAATATCGTTCTCATAGTCCCTTTCTGATGTTCGTCTTATGTTAATGTAATCGTTCCTAGCTCTGTTGCATCTGATCCTGTTGTCCTCTGTCCTTTGTCTTCTGTACTTCCTCCACTCCCGCCTGCTGGCCATTTGTGCTTCCTGACACTGTCTATTAAACCATGGGTTATTATATTCCCTCTTATTTTTTCCCTTTACTGTTGGTATAAATCTCTCTTCGGCCTCCTGGCATTTCTGTATGACTAGGTCCATCATATCTTGGACTGTTTTTCCTCTAATTTTTTCCTCCCAATGCACTTCGCCCAGATAGTCCCTTATCCTCCTATAGTCCCCTTTTCTGTAGTCAACTCTCCTTTCCCAGACCTCTTGTCCAATGGTCACAAGTTTGAATTCCATCATGTAGTCAGACTAGGACACAATGGTCACTGGCCCCTAGAGGTATTTCATGTTCCAAATTCTCGATATCTTCTACGTTCTGGGTGAAAATCAGGTCTAATAGGCTCGGTGCATTTCCTCCTCTTTCCCTTGTGTCTTCCTTCACATGTTGTGTTAGGAAATTCTGTCTATAATATCTCCTAACTTTGCTC